AGTGGGGCAGCGGTGGGGTGTCTGGGGGGGAAGCGCTGCCCCGGAGCGGAGCTTTTACGTACAGCAACGCCACTGCCGGGGGAAGGGCGCTTGGGGGCGAGTTAAGAACGCTGTGCTCAGAAAGCACCAGGTTGTTTTTATTCTTTAAAGCAGCCTCGATAGACAGATCGGTTTTTAATAGCTGCCAGCACATGTGTGTTGCTGTGTTTGCCGAGGGGTTATTTATGGTGAGTTAAGGAGAAGCACACTTGGAAGCAGTAGGCGAAGTGTCGGGGTCTTCTTACCCTTTGTTTCCTGGGCTCTCCTTCGTTACAGAGATGTTTTCCTGCGACAACAGGCCTTGAGGCTTCCCACCAGACAGTGATGGCTTGCAACAGTTAAATCACTTTACGTGCAATGCTTAGTACAGTTAAATAAAGCTGGGTTCTCATTTAAAAGAGCTCCTATTTCTTCAAGATCTGTCAGATCTTCAAATTTGTAATCTGCCTTTTTAACTCCACAGCTGGCAGTAAAGAGAGGAGGAAAGGGCCTTTTCCTGTTCACTGGCACACCAAAATTCCCCAGGTCAAAGTTGCACTGCTATCTGTTTACCAGAACAGCAGTAACTGACCTAATCTCACTATGCCAGTGTCAGGGTCACTGGGAGGCCGTGACAACCTGTGAGTATGCAGTTGAAATATTTTCCATTAATTCAAAGAGGAAAATAAATTCCAGCGCCGAAGTTAACATAAAGTGACATTTAATTTATGATAGAGCACATCTCTGGAGATGACAAATTGGAAGCATTATTTGTGCAAGATGCACTGGGGTTCCCATTCACTTTTCTAGCTTCCTGTCCAACTAATCACTTTCCCTTTAGACATGAATTACTCTCGATTCATCACAAGTGTGAGTGCAGCAAGAAAAGCATCTCCGATAAGACTTCTGAGTGAGTATCTGCCCATTCTTTCCAGGTTCTCTAGAAGGGTATTTTTCTATATTCTGGACATTTCTGGAGTATTACTGATAAGGACTTTAAAAGACTTGAAAGAAAACCATGCTGTAAGCTGACAAGCAAGGCCAGTTAACTGCTTTAGCTTTTGTCAAGTTGAATTGTTAAGCAGGTGTAAAGATGAAGAAAGCAAATACCCTTGAACTATTTCAGAAACCCATCCAGACAGGAGAGAGTATTGTCACTTTAGCATGCATCTGGAAATTCTTTCCTGTGTCCTGTCCATAAATTCCTCACCACACCAACCCCCTCAGTGTTACTACACTTTCCTTTTCTATATTATGCTATCTTTAGGCTACCATGTTACGTAGTCTTCTGTGTGACAGATAGAAAAGGTTAACTGCCTATTTATTTATTCAGCTGAAATCTACAGGGACCTGACAGAATCAGAGCATGAGACATACATCACTAGTTAGACCTTCAGGGGTCAATTTCCTCTCTTTGTAAGGGGTTGGCATTTGCTGTGCTGCTTAAAATGCTCCATGCTAGGTCAACTAACTCACTCTAGACAGTCTCTATACTTTTTCAAGTGATACACTGATACACGTCATAACACCAGTACTAATTAACACAGCTTGTGCAGAAAGCCACACTGAGGCTGCAGTTTTGGTGACAAAGTAAATCTGTCTTTACCAGACCAAAAGTCATAGACGTGACCCTTGTTACTGAACATATAAGAATTAACTCCCCATGTTCAAGTTTGCTAAGTAGTAGTGGAGAATAAACTCCGTAACAGGAGGCTTTAAGCCAGATCTGGTGTCATCTGTCCTCTCATACCTGATGTAAAACTGTCAAGCCAGCATGACTGCTATATTGTGAGCTCTTAGCTTTAATGCAGTCTAGTGCTCTTGCTGGATTAAGGTCTAGTCTGTGCTGCATAGATTGGGTCTGAATAATTGTAAAACTGACTTTAACGCAAGGGTTGTTAACTTTCCCTTCATACTGAATTACTTACACAGTGCTTCCACCACTGAAGTTGGGCTATCAAGCTTTCCCACTCCCTTATGGAAAAATAATCATATATGTAACTGTCAGTATAGCTGCACTACTGCCAGCCACATAAGCTGAAGTGAGACTGAACAAAAACCAAAGCCAGTAATTCCAAGTCCAGTCTAAACAGAAGATCAGTAAGATTTTGAATTCTTGAAGCTTAAAAGATACCAGTCAAGGTTATTATAATAGTAGAACAGAGGTAAGATTACAAAAAGCTATTTATAGTTTACTTTAAAACAAAGATGGCTTTTTTTTTATTTTGGTCTGTCCCACTCATGTCTCCCTGCCCACCCCACCTCATTACCCCCACCTATTTAATCTAGGTAGAAAGGCAAGTTTAAAAAAAATTATCCTTCTGAATTCATAACAGTTTAAAAAAGTAAAGTGAGAAATGGAACAAGCTTCTCTGGACTATTGTAATATACTGACTAAAGGATATGATCAGTGTTGTAATAATCAAGTTGTAACCAAGATTTTTTTTCCTTTTACTCTAGGTGAACTGATGGAGAAGGCTCCTCCATCTCTCATCTCTCTGGCTGGAGGAGCACCAAACCCTGACCTTTTTCCATTTAAGAGAGCTACTGTTGCCATTGGACATGGAAGTGCTATTGAGATTGGGGAAGAGCTGATGAAGAGAGCTCTCCAGTACTCAGCCTCAGCAGGGTATCCATCGCAACTGCTTGCATGTCAAGCTGCCAGAATTAAAGGATCACAAAATCCTTTATTATTTCATTAATTCACCTGTGTTTTTAAAACCTGATTGTTAAACTTGTTTTACAAAAAGAAAAAAGGTTTAATTTCTCTCAACTTGCCTATTTACATTTTGGTTTAAGTGGAAAGTTTTGAGCAGATGAGTAACTACAAAAAAAAAAAAAAAAAAAACCAAAACAAGAAACTCAGCAAGCCCTAATACTAGTAATTCTCATGTCATAGCATTTTCTGGCTGTTAGTATTTGAGACTCCAGGCTTCCAAGTCACTAGGAGGAATCATTCTGTATTTTGGAGTAAGACGCATGCTAAAAGACACTGCATTGTGCTACATAGTTCCCACATTCTATAGTGTTTGGGTTACTTTTGTTTGGTACCGTAGATTGAAATCAGTATGTAGTAGTTGGAACTATTTATAGTATTGTCAGCTGTAGTACAAAAATTGCATATCAGTAAGTTACTTTAGCGCTCATGTGAACTCCTCAGCAGACAGCACTGAGGCTTGTGACAAGCTTGGCAAAAAAAAAATTTAGGTACACAATTACAGACAGACACAGGGCATTAATCAGTGAAGACTTTTCTTGACGTTTAAATGAACCCAGCAATTTGTGAACATCCTGGGGTATCTTGAGATCCTGTTTCAGAAATTTGTTATTAGCTGCAGCCTATTACTAGCAGCATTGTGAGCTTTGTCACACTGCCACATTTGAGTATGAGAAGATCCACTCCTAGGAGTGGACATAGTTCAGCCTCCACCCCTCTTCCATCCTTGCCGAATCATTTCTGCCCAGATTTCAGATGATTTGGTATATGAACCACAGATGCCCATCTCTTCTGCTGTTCCATAAGAAATATTTGTCTGATTTTCATTATTTGATAAGGTAGTCATAAAATTAACTTCTAAGCGTATCTGTGTGGCAGCTGAAATGAGGCTTAGGACTGTGCACTAGATTTGGCAGTGATTTAGAGGAACAGCCTAGCTTTGGTCTATATAAGACATTATATACACCTTATGTTATTCATGTTTTAGGATTCCAGAGCTGTTGTCTTGGCTAAAGAATTTCCAGCGAAATCTACATAATCCCCCCACAGCCAACTACAGTCCTGAGCAAGGACAAATGGAAGTGTGTATCACAACTGGCAGCCAGGAAGGCTTGGGTAAGGTAAGACCAAAAGTTTCATATGTTAGAAGCATTTCTTTGAGATATTTATCCTCCCATCAGTTTGGTTATACATGATTCATTATTCAATATACAGCATTACATGCCATTGTATAACTATACACAGGGTACTTTGTTAAATACATGTTCAGTATTATCAATACAAGATAACAGAACTGAAATAAAATTGGTGTAGCACTCTCACTGTCATGAATGCTGAGGTAAACCAAAGAGCCTGTGAGAAAATAACACTACTAAGGTAACCTTTCACATTACTCAGGTAGTGCAGTAATAAGTACGTAAGTACATTATTTGCATTACTGTAACTCAGTTAATTGTTACATTTTCATAAGTACCCTTTCCATTCCACTCACTGCTGCTTAGTTGATCCTTTCTCTAGCTGAAGCACTGTTTCTACTGTGTAATAGAGCACTGTCTTTCCATATCAAATTGGTATTCTGTAGCTGATTACCCAACTTCATTTGGCTCTAAAGCTTTTTTTCATCAGTTCAATGCTTTTCTCACAGACAGCATAATTATATGGTTAGGGAATTACTAGTACCAAATCAAGATTTTTAATCCCACTAAAATTAGAAGTATGCGTACAAGAATGGCACAATCTTTCTAAAATAGACTCGTTTACAGGTGTTTGAAATGCTCATTAATCCTGGGGACAACATCCTCTTGGATGCACCAGCATACTCTGGGACACTAGCAGCTGTAAGTATTCGTTAGCTACCAAACACTGAGTATGTTTCTTTTGAGGTAAACAGCAACGTAGTACTTGATCTGCAGGCTTAAATACTCTCCGTTTACTGTCAAAATATATCTAAGAATCACATTTTTAGTGTTAGTCGAGTTAAGTTCATAAATATCAATTCATAAAAGCCTTTCTTCTAAGTTCTATAAAAGCTATTCCCGGGATTTGGAAGAGGATCTTCTGTTCTAATTCATTCAAGGGCTAGGGTCACATTTGGGATGGGAAGGAAAGCCATCATAACCTAGTTGGGTTGAAACAAAGTTATAACAAGTGGGTATTTTAACATATCAGCACATTCACCTGAAGTATTTTGTGGTCTGATTATACCATAGCTATAAATAGTATAAAATTGGGATAGGTCTAAAACATGTTTATATGAGTATGAAGATGTGAATTATTAAGAACTATACAAAAATAGCAAATTTTACTTCTGAAAAGTAACTTAATCAGTATGTACTCAAATGTCAGCTCAAAATGCATAAGGGTTAGAATAGGTAATACACAATTTCAGTTGTGTCCTCATGCATCAAAAGGAATTTTGATGTTTGCTGTGCTAAGTTTGAATATCTTGTCTAATAAATATACTTTGTTAGGAATATATTTTGACAATGCAGCAGGCTTGCATTTTTATTTAAAAATGGAGACTGCTACATGGTACAAATTGAAATTCCATAGAGGGGACGCAACATGCTTTTTTGTTGCAAATTTACCTGTATTTTTTCATACTGCTGCCAACTTGTCACTGCAATAGCATCATTCCATTCTCTTTTGTATTGCTGAGTATATCTATTAAGAACAGACTCTTTGCCCTTTGTCAGTGAGAAGTAGCTTACAGATATGGCACTTCCACTAAGTAGAATGCAAATTGTCAGTAGGAAATGTGAACTTAGTATCTGTGGTGACACCAATGGAGTCCTGAGAGAACACAGTTCAAATTCACAAAATCCCTTTCTGATTGCAAAACCATATGCAATTTTGTAGAGAAGAGCAGCAGCTGGACATAAGAGCTACCCATTTCTTCTCAGATGGCTTAACAGGCCAAATAAAGAGTAATGTGGTAAGTTTGACAAGCTTCACAGCAAATTCAGGCAAACTTTTTTTAATCATGAGCAAACGGAGCTTGAGATTATAGCTATAAATTCAGAAAGACTTTATCAATGAAATTTAACAATGCTGATGACAAAAGGAAGACCTTTGAATTACGGGATTGACAGTTTCATTCCTCTTATCAACAGCTGAGACCATTGGGTTGTAACATAATTAATGTTCCTAGTGACCAACATGGCATTATTCCAAATGCTCTAAAAGAAATTCTGTCTACTTGGAGCCCAGATGATAGCCACCACCTTCCCAAATTCCTGTACACTGTTCCAAATGGGTGCAACCCAACTGGAAACTCTCTGACCACAGAGCGCAAGGAGGAGATTTACCAGGTATGTAGCTGGGGCCATATGAACCTTGTAGCTGGAAATGGAAAAGTGTCAGTCCCATTTAAGTAGAAGATATCCCTTGTGTGGTATTTGGGCCAGTTATCGGTCCAGTAGACATTCCTCCTAGAACTTATTTCTAGCAGAACCTCTTTCATGACAACTTTTCAGAGGTGAACTATGCATTAGATAAATTGTTTTTGCAACAGTAGCCCATTGCTGGCCCTTATCTTTGCTATGGGCTTCTAACTGGACTTACTGCAAGATTCCTACACATTTTGAACACCGTTGCAGAACAGATTCGGTTATTACAGTTGTCCTTGTACTGCAGGTACCATGGTTACTCTTATAATTACTTGATGTCTAAATTGGGTATTGAAATATTCTCTTGATAGGGCCTTGTATATAGTGAATGAGCAATACACAGGATCATAATATGGTCCTGGTAGTAGGCCCAGTGTAGAGGAAGTACTTAATTTACAGTGTCTTTACATTTTAACAAATCTTTACTTTTTATTAATTTCTTTAGCTTGCAAGAAAATATGATTTCCTCATAATAGAAGATGATCCTTACTACTTTATTCAGTTTGAAAAGGTAATTTGCCATCCATACTTCTTAGCAATACCTTTTCTGGTCCAGGAGAGACCCAAGATATGAGCCGTGGATCTTCCTGCATGTTCCTTCTTCATGTCCTATGCCAAGGTAGTTCTAGACCTCACAGTGTATGCTACTTTCAGTTGTTGCCCCCTTTGTGGCATTTCAGTGCCTCAGTCACATTCTAATTCCTCAAACCTTATTACAGGACAGAATTTCCTGCAGTAGTCAGAAAATAGGTAAGACTTTGCCTCCAGAGCAAAACAAGAATGCCACTAAAACAGCACTTAATAGTAGCCCCTTAATGTACCTTTCAGCCCAGTTTCATTCAGTGGAACACTGCCTACTCCCAATCTACTATATACCAATTTTACCCCTTGGCCTTTTGGAGAACCCGAGAGAATTCTCCCAGATACTACAGGAAGTAGAACTAGATAGGCAGGTTCCCTCCTCCATGTAAATTTTCCTTAAATGGGTGACAACTGACTGTTGACCTATCTTCACACATGAGTCTACAGCAGCACAGTCTGCACAAGTACCTAGAAGGAGGTCTTACAAGCAGTATAACACTGGTAGAAGCTAAAGTTCAGCATTTTCTATTTTGCAGTATGCTTTCATGGAAAGAGCCAATAAAACCGCTTCACTTGTTGAATAGCATTACACAGATTTTAGAGCATAAGGGGAAAAGGTGTAAAAGTAGAATTACTGATGAGGAAAAAAGTGTGCTGAAGTCAGGTCAAAATTTGGCCATAGCTTCTGATTATTTATTTTTTTTTAATCTAAAAGCTGCAGAGCCCCATCTTAAAAATTACAGTATCTGTTCAGTCCATAAAAAAATCTTGGCAAAGAAACAATTATTTTTCTCTTATACTTGTGACGTCATACCAAAACTTGAACTGAACACTAGTATGCTGAACAGTGGGCTAAGCATCAAAAAACAAGGCTGCTTTCTTGATGACTTTCATAGGATATTGTAATCACATCTCAGACAGCTAGCCTAAATGGCCACTTGCCAGCAAGTTACTGCATTTTCTTCCCCCTTGGAATGCACATCAAAATACGTATCAAAATAATTCTTTAAGAAATTATGTCTTCATAATAAAGAAAATTATTACATCATAATCTTTACTAGCATCTTGAATTTATTTTTATTTTTCTTCCAAGCCATGGGCTCCAACTTTCCTCTCAATGGATGTGGATGGCCGAGTTATAAGGACTGACTCTTTCTCTAAAATTCTCTCATCTGGGTAAGGCCAACTTTGGACTGCGCAGCGCTGCGTGTTCAGTTAAGGCACAAGACTTCATACAAAATGATCAGACATGTCAATTTTTTCATCTAATACCTATCCATTTCTGGAATGCACTTTTGCAGTCCACTGACTTTTCATGTTATCTCTTGGTAGTCACGTAATTCCAATTTCTGTTTCTCTTCTGATACTGATAACCATTCTCCCCAGGCAGCCCATTCTTGCAGATGCTTTCTAGGCAGAAAGACACATGCTGAATCCAGCTCTGTTCCTGGAACTCCTAGCAGTTTTTCTCTCTTGTTTTTCCATTTCTCCTGTCTCTTACTATTCCTGCAGACTCTCTATAAACTTGCAGTACAGAAAGAAACTATGGCATTCTCCACAAACTGTTCAGAGCATTGCAGTGCTTTCTGGTCTTCTAGTCTTACAATTCTCTGCCTGAAAAACTAGGCTGGCTGTTTTCCATTTCACACAAATGAACATACTTGATTAACTTGCTTTTGTTTGTTATTCTGATAACTGTAAGAGAATAATATGAATTCTGCACTGGCAGATAGTGATTATAACCCTATACCTGAGAAAGTGAGGAGATGACGTGATGCTAAGTGTGATTGTACTTTCAAAAGTCACAGTGAAAAGCCATGCTACATTTTTGTCTTTGTCAAAGACACATACGAGTTTACTGGCTCTATTTTTCTTCAAAGAAAAGCTTGAGCCAATCTGTAAAGATGGGTCATAAGAATTCGAACAGAAATAAGAATCTAGTTTATCAGTCAAAATCTCATTTATTCTACAGTACTAAAAGGGAGTGAAAGAGTAAAGCTGTTTATCGCTTCCATCTGTTTTTCAGAAAGTCTGAGCACTCATGATTTTTCATTATGTGAAAACCTATCCTTCCTTCCCTTCGAGTCATCTAAATCTTTGTGATTGCAGAGGAAAGCTTAAAAATGTGGGCTATGTCCTGAAGTCTGAGAACTAAGAAGCTACTATAAGCATTAAAAACCCTTAAATGTTTTTATTTCATGACTTTGAATAGTCATAAATTGCATAAGCCTGTGATTTAGGGCAGTATTAAAATAACAGATAAACTTAAAATCATAAAAGATCCTTACAGACCAGTGAAATGGTTATGTTTTCCCAGCTAGAAGTTAAACCATAATTCACATGAAGTATTAGCACATTGCATTTCTGTAGTAACTTTTTTCTGTTGTTTTTTTCTCTAGATTAAGAATAGGTTTTCTGACAGGACCCAAGCCTCTTATTGACAGAGTTATTCTACACATCCAGGTTTCAACGATGCACACCAGCACTTTCACACAGGCAAGTACTAAATAGCCAACTCAACTGGATTTAGAAAAGGTAGTATATTCCAGGTCACAAGAAACCACAAACAGCTTTGCACTTTTGCAGTTCTTCTGCACTTCTGCAGTCTTGGTTATAAACACATACTTTGTCAAGTCTGCCACAGGAAGACAGACTGCCATAGAAATTACAACCAGAGCTAGATAGTGTCTCAGTGCATGGAAAGTACAGGTAATAATGGCCTTAACTCTCAGATTTCAAGAACCAAGATGTAAAATACTTTCTATCTCTTGCTAGTAGGTTCACTTGAAAAACCTCAATGTAAAGCACACATTGGAAGAAGCACTCGGGGTTGGGTTTTATTGTTTTTCAATCTACTTTATAATTAGAACAATACTGGCAGCCCACAAAAACATTACAAAGTAGGCTACCAACTACAGCCCTTTTATGGTTCGTAGTAAGGAAAGGAGACATTGAGCGCATGTAAATATTACTTCCATCTTCCAGCTCCATTAGTTTGTCAGAGGCAGCATTAAAGCAAAGAAGCTGATATGGGCACAACCTAAGCCTACATTGCCTTCCTTTTTCTCCCCGATTACCATATTTAGCTCTCCATCCATTTTTCCTTCCCTCCACCCCAACTTCCGAACACTGCCATGATCCTCAGAGACCGCAGTAACATGGACTGCAGCGGCCTGTTTCTGTTGCCACCTCTGTTTATAAAGGGCTCTAAGATACCCTAAATGCAGTTCTTGCCTGTGTGGAATTTTGCATAATGTATCAGGATATGTATCTTATGATGATTGCAGAACAGTCCTGTTTAAAATATTTTATTGATTATATGTTTTATTTCTTTAGATTATGGTATTACAGCTGCTTCAGCAATGGGGAGAAAAGGGTTTCTTGGAGCATATAGACAGGTAGGGTCATGTCATATGCTGAATCCCGTCATTTGTCATTCTGCTTCTTATTTTCTACATAAAACATTCTTTGCAGTAAAGAGGTCAGAAGAGGTGGATCGCTACCAAGCCAAATCACCAAGACTGACAATATTCACACAAGAGTCCTGAAGGAGCTCAGAGTGAAGTTGTAGACATGCAGGTCAGGGCATGTAACCCACCACTACAGACCAGCAGTCTGCCAGTCCACAGGCCCAGTCATTATGCAGCTCCTACATGAAGGGAACTCAAGATGATCCTGGGAGCTTCCACACAGCTTCACTGCTGAAGCAAAGGCTAAGATCACTGAGCACATCATCTATTGAGTGGTCAGCATGGCTTCTATAAAGGGAGCTCTTGCCTCACTAACTCAGCAGGGATTCACATACTTAACCTAGTGATTGTGGGTGCTGGTAGAAAGATCTGACATGCATTTTGTTTTCATTTATTATGCTGGAGGAACATAGTTTCTCTTGACTATCCACGCTTCATTTCAGATGCCATACCTGGTTGCCATTAGAACTCCAAGCTTATTATGTCAGGAGGGGTGTACTATACAGACACCTATAAACAGGAACATGAGCAAAGCATGGAAAAAATTCTTACACCTCACTGTAACAGGCACTTCTATTCCCTGAGCACCTGCCTGTTGTTCATACTGTAAATACCAGTATTAAAAAAAATTAAAACAAAAAAGTCTAAAGCAGACACAGCAGCCATAGCCCTCGTTTTAAAGATTAGAAAAATAAAGATAGGCTTTGCAAGGAAACTTGAACCATGCTCCAGCTCAACTTTCAGCAGTTTGAAAAACACATTCTAAATGCATCTGTCCACTTACCTCCTTCTTGTAGGCTAAAAGGCATCCCTACTTAAGCCAGAAACCATTCTTCCTCTAAGATAATAGAAACAGCACTGCAATAAGCTAGCTGCAAGCCTTTATAACCTTTTAGGGTCAGTTGTCAGGTGACTTACTGATGAGGCCCAACAGCTGACTGGAATCTCTTCCAAGTGATTTTATTTGGACAAGTTTCACTTGTTAAGAGTATGCTTTTGAGAAGGAGCTAGCTTGTTGTTTGGACCACTTACGTTTTTGTGGAAGTCTTGTCTTCCTACTACTTGTAATTTCATTCTGGCATGTCAGTAAAATGGTAAGAGAAAGGCAAAATCTTGCAACAGAATTTGTGATGTGGTAAAAACTGCATTTTTGTTGATGTAGCAATTGGTGTAGGCTGAGTCCCAGAACTGTGTAAGCCTGTGTTGGTGTTTGTCTATCAGGTGTAATAAAATACATCCAGAAATTAAAGCTATTGGTTCAGAGAGTATGTAAAAAAATCTAAGTGTAAAATTATGGAAATTACTAAGTATGTTTTCTTTAGACATGGGAACACATTTGCATCTGATTTATGAACTCTGTATTGGGCATTTCTCTTGTGTCTCCCCTGGCACAGCTGTCTCCTGTTAACAAGAGCAAGGCTTGTCCATGTTGAAACTTGGGTTAGGGTCATTTTCCTCATTTTCCCCAGAAAGAGATTGAATTATTTGTAAGCTTCACTTAAAGTGTGAAGGAGATAGATTCAGGAGTGTGGAAAAGGGGAAGCTGTCAAATAGCCATTATATGTTTATCATATGTTTTGCTTTTTACCTTGTGAAATATCATTTCCATGTGTATCTATTACAGAAATTTAACCCAATTGCACAAATGTTGAACCTGTGCTTTTGCATATGTGTAAGTCTTTAATTTTCTTCAGTATGTCCGTTTTGTGCAGTAAATATTGTTGACAGGGCTTGTATCCACTGATACAGACAGAATGGATATAATATAGAAAAAGTTCTTGTGACATATATAAAGCTTAAGAAGCAGCCAGGCAGGTACTTTCTCTGTGTGGTTGATCTGTGCTTTGTTGGAGACACACTGAAGCATTCAAGACCTCTCTGATAAATATACAAAGTTTTATATACACAGTATACTGTATTTGCCCATCTAGGATATGTTTTTATCTCCATTAAGTGTGCATTTAGGTTGTTCAAGTAGAAAAGCTTTGTTTCTGCCTTTGGAAAGAAATGGACTTTGAAGCTCTATGAGATCATGACTTTGAATTGATAATTTACTTCCAGAGTGGTGGAGTTCTACAGGACCCAGCGGGATGCAATGCTCACTGCTGCTGACAAGTGGTTAAAAGGTCAGTGAGTGCAACACAGATAATGACTTAAATTTTTTCCAAACTGTTTATCATGTTTGTGGTCAAGAAAAATCACTAAAGTTCATCTCTTGACTGAAGTGACAGATAAGCACTATAGCAAATCAATGACATTAAATACTCAGCTTAGGACGAATTATCTGGTACTGCTGTTTTTTTGCTGGTGGGACAAGGGGATTGTGATGAGTACAGAGCTTGCCACATGACTGAATAAAGCACTTTCACAAAGAGCATATATTTCACTCCACTATGTTCTTATACTGTTTATGTTTAAAATCTGTCAGATTCGGTGGCCTTAATTTAAGAGAAATAAATAATTGATAGCAGTAATGATATTTTTTTTGTCAGAAATCAATTTCCCGTGTTCCCTTCTGTGGTTAATCACAGAGCATAGAAAAATATGATCAACAATAATGCAACTACAGTTAATGATTCACTCCTTTTAGTGAGTTTAAGTGGAATCAGTAATAACTGCTGAAGAACCGCCCGCCTGCCTTAGATGATACTTCCATGTGACAAGGGTACTTAGGCCCCACACAATCATTAATGTACTTACTTTTGCTAATTCCCGGGTTTTAGGTATGAAGTATTTCTTCTTTTTCTCCATGGATGTGAACAGCTGGGGGTTGTTGACCTGGTTAGGCCCTCTTTGTCTTAGTTCCCAAAGTATCAAAACAGCATAATAGCACTGGGCTACCTTAAAGTGTGTTGGAATTTTGAATAATGCATCAAGATATGTGGCCTATATTCCCCTTGAGGTTATCAGAGCAACAAATCTACTTCACTGAATCTATGATGTATCAGTTAAAGATGGGGTGGAAGTTTCTTTCCCGATTCCTTTGTTTTCTCTCTCTCTCCCCAGACTTGGCAGAATGGTACCCTCCTGCTGCTGGGATGTTTTTATGGATCAAAATTAAGGGTATTTCTGATACACAGCAGCTCATCACGGAAAAAGCTTTGCAGAAAGAAGTATGATCTATGGTTTAATGGCTTATGATGTTAAATTGAAATGAGGGAAGGATAAAATAATTTTACCATATCTATCCACACATATGCACACACACAAAAAAGCAGGTCAACTTGCCATATACCATCACTGAGTCTGCAAGTCAGGCATTGTCACATAGTGACTCATTAATAAAATATTTTTATGTCTCTATTCAGATGCTGATATTTAATCAGCTTATTTAAATTTAAACCATTATAATAGCACAGTACATCATGTATAGAACATATATAGAGAATATTAATATACGTACCGATATGAATAATGGCTGTCCACAGTATCTTTTCAATAACAGAAATTAAGTGAGATTTTATTTCTACAATTTGCAAGAGCCAGCACTGTGTACTGAGTAAGCTACATTCCACCTTATTGGTGCTTCTAAACATTGTGATGATAAGCCAGACTTTGTAACCCACCAGCCTAGGTAAACAAAACCTAAGAGCCCTTTGATTTTGTTTTGAAAAGTCCAATTCAAATACATATTTCTGGCTTCTAATTTTGAAGAGAAGAAATACATTATGCCATGTTCTGACACCAGTGTTTCAGCAGTGAGATTTCTCAAATTTAATTTAACATAGTGTTTTAAAACTGCAGAAGTGGTGATAACCAGGTGGCTAATCAATTTTTCTCAGGTGTTACTGGTTCCTGGAGGAGCATTCAATATCAATAGTTCAGAGCCAAGTTCTTATGTCAGAGCCTCCTTCTCTTTGTCTTCTCCAGCCCAGATGGATCTGGTAAGTGAGATTTTTTTCTTCTACTTTCTTACCAAGACAGTATTTCGTGCAATAATGCTCCCTAATTTCTACTTATTTCTCCTTATGTGTTTTCTTGAGTGTTAGTGTAGTTTGTTTAGTACTTGGGTTATGAAGCAATACTTTTGAAGCAGTATTGGCTGCTTCTTAGGCAAGACACTCATAACGAAATTACCTGAAAGGTACCAGATTTTTAAGACCACTTGAAATTTTTCTCTGAATCTCGTACATGTAGATTCTCACACTTAACCCTCCCCGACATTATTCATAAAGGCTTTACTGCGGACTAGAGTAAGTTTTGCTATTTGCTTTAGCATTAGCAGGCATCATATAATTTTTATTTTCCAGACTTTCCATTCCTGAGATTGAATTACCTGTTTTCTTAGTGTGTGTGTTGTCAATCCTTTATAAGAAGGAATATTGTTTTTCTTGCATACAATCGACATATATGTTGTATTTCATTTCTCAGGAACAGATCTATGTATTTTACATTTTGGATGATACTTGGCTGTATCTATAAAATCAGTGGATAGATAGGAGACATTTATTTGTGCAGATTTAATACTCATTTAATTCAGATGCTTGAAACAGTTTGGTATTTGTAGTTGTACTTTCAGTTGTGAAGGTTTGTAACTTGTAAGTGCTTCTACTGCCTTTCTGTTCCTTCTTTTATAGTTCTTCTATTTCTTCCTTCTTCTTTGTAAAAGTAATTAATAACCATACTGTCGATAATCAAATGTATCTTTTACATGCTTCCCCACTCAACTGTTCTTCCTTTTCTTTCCACCTTGGGAGCCTCCAGGCCTATACACGTTGTTATAAAAGGAAAACAGAGAACATCAGCGGAATTTTGCAGTATAAAATACTGAGTTTGTATATAGTTAGGGTGGTTTCAGTAGCTTTACAGGTTTGACATGTTGCCTATTTAAGTAATGCTGGAATATAAATGTGAGCCATATTTGTGTCATTGCAGGCCTTCAAGAGACTGGCTGACCTTATAAAAGAAGCTTTGTGAAAAAGCTAAATAGAGATCTTGCAGCAATCAAAATCATCTCCAGAAAATATTTACTAACATTTAATAACATCAGAACACTTCAAAAGCAAGCACAATACAGTGGATGTTTCCTTGGAATGTTTCAGCTAAAAAAGAAAAAAAAAAAAAAAGAAGGAAAAAAATTTGCTTTATTGGGGTTTATTTTGACAGGACATTGCACCACTAAGTTTATTGAAATTCAGAAGCATTTAAAATACTCAAACCCAAAATGTTCTGTTTCCTGTCAAATTCATGGTTTTTTAGATTTGTATTGATTTTTGGTTTGGCTTTGGGTTTCCATTTGGGTTGGGAAATGGAAATGAGTTACTTAAGAAGTTGCACCTGAGGTGGTCTTAGCCACTATTACTTAATCCAAACTGACACATTCCTTCAATACCTTATGTTGGAATTGTCTTGTGTGTCATTTTCCTTCTTGTCCTGTTGTATGGCATCTGGTTTTGAAGATCTGAAGATCAGCATTTAATTTTACTAATATTTTATCAGGTAAAACTGACGTAAGGGTGTTAAAAAATTGAAACTGATCCAGCAAAATTAGGCTATGATTACAGCTCGTTCTCTAATTTGTAAAAGGTTTTCTAATTGCTGGCTTCTAACTTCAGTCTGTGAATAATTATTCTGTACCTGCGTTAGAAATTCTGTGGTTTGCAGAGGCATGTGGATGTGCTAATAGAGCTGCTCCCTGCTCTTGGTTAATCAATCAGACATGCTTTTAAATGGAGAGCATGAGTAACTAAACAGAGGGCATAGTGGAATGACAATACCCTGACACTGCCAGAGGTACAAAGCAAGCGAAATGAAAAAATAAAGAAATGTTTTGATCTCTGATCTCTTGGTCATTATCATCCCAAACATTTGATTCTTGGCAACATGTACAAAACCTTCAGAAAGTTTTAACTGTACAGATTCTCCAAGGAGAGGCCACAGTCCCAAAGCTGCTCTCAGGGCACCACTGCTGTCCTTGAAGACAAACTTCACTGTTACTGTGTGATGGTGCTAATGGGAGGTCCAAACTAGCAGTGCCTTCTGTGCAGTGCTGTTTAACACCAAGTGTTCATGCTTCAACTTGGTTTCTCAACCACACACAGAAATTTTGAAAGCTCTGACTTTGCTAAGTAAGGCAATTTTTATCTTGGATTCAATTTATTAAAACATTTTATACAACAGAATGAGTTGGTGTCTGTTTAATATATTTTTACAGAGGAATAAATGTAAATCTCATGTAAGACTGATTTTAGTTCTCAGGCAAATGCTATTGTCAAATACTACTGTCACATTGTCATTCAGACCAACCTGAATTAGAAAAACATAATCAAAATATCATTATTAAGCAAGCTCTGTATTGGTGATGTGTTGAATAATACACCACTTAACTAAACACTAATTTAGTTGAATGCAAGCAAAATGCAATCCCATTTGCTGCACATTAGATGCTTTTGCTATCAGCTAATTTAATTTAGAGGTTTTTTCTCTGACTGTGGCGAGGCATCTAAAATTAAATTAACACCCTGAACAGTGCAAATTGAACAATGGCAGTGAAATCTTAGCACATACTGTTTCCCTGAACCTCTGAAAGCAGAATTTCTGGACTCCTGGGAGAGAGCATTCACCATGATTAAATGTTCCCGGAGGAAGCCACTTAGAGACAAAAGGCAAAGGGCAAAAGGCAACAGGTTCACATAGAAAGAAATTATGTGGCAAATGAAAGCTTTGTTTTTCCCTTTCTGTTTCATCTGTCCAAGAACAAATAACCTCTCCTTCAGAGCAGATTTAGTCTGATGCAAGTGACACAATCCACTGCTGGGGAAGAGAGGAAGGAAAGGTCTCTGTGGTAAGCACATCTGTGGTGCTACCTGGATATGGGCAGCTGTGGAAAAGCTTACAGCAGTGCTGTAGAGAGCTGCCTGATGTGGGCAGCTCCTGGCAGGCCGATTCTCCAGGCTTATTTCTGAGTGGTCAATACCTACCCATTCTCTTGTACCTACAGTTTGGTTCCACTGGATTTTCAGACTTTAGGCAGATTAAGAAGACCTATAAATTCTGGACAAATAGCTACTGTACATGACCCAAACAATTATGCTGTACAAGAAACATAAATCTTAACCCACCCTACACGTATCATGTGCCTGTGTTGCTGCACACATTCAGACTTGTACAATGCATCCCACTTCTGCTTTCCAAATGTTACCAATGTAGCGAGGGGCAGCAGTTCTTCCTCAGGAGAATGGAAATACTAACTATAACAACTTCAACATAACTCCTGAACTTCTACATAAAATACATTTACAAATTCTAGGTTCATGAAGGTCGTTACTCTAAAGGAAAATACTCCCCTTAACTTTCAAAAAAGAGCCCTTCAGCACTGCTGTGATTAATGAATAATTGAGAAGAAAAGATTTTTATGGGGAATTCATTAGAATAGAGAATGTATGTGTGTATCCAGTATGACAGTTCTGACACTAAACTGTGAGCAGTTAAACTGTGAGCATGCAGAGAATTATTTCATCTAACTGAATGCCAGTCCCTGAGCATCAGTGATGGTGTCCAAGAACAGAGTTTTTGTGGAAAACACTTGACTTAGTTTTGGAGGGTTGTCCACTAAATTCTGAATGCAAGTTTCATTTTAAACCTCATCCTTTAAAATCAGTTTGCTGTGTGTGGAGCCTTGTATTTTAAACCTTGTGGCCTATGGAACTTTCAGTTCTGCCATTGCAATATGAATTGTGATACACTGGAGCAAATTGAGCTCTACTGGTGCACGCCCTAAACTGTCTTGCTTTCTTTATTTAATAACAGTTTTTGAACAGCCCACTGTAGACTGTGTTTTAGATGGGAACAGAACAATTGCAGTGTTTGAACTGTAGTCATTCTGAATGAAAAGCATTCTGCAAATACAAAGGAACACACATTTTCATTTTTCTAACGTTGCTACCAGGAATACCAGTGCCTCATAATGGCTGTGGAAGCTATTGTGTAACCCTGCAAAGCTCAGGTATCACCCCAGAAGGATAAGGGCCTTGTTGATTCTTTTTGAGAATGCTGATTTCCTGCTAGGAGAATACCTTTAAAATTGTATTTTCTTTGTATTTTCAGCTTCTAGTAAATCAGGTCTGGATTGATACAGCAAGTGATATAGCAAGTGAATATGCTGTGATGTGACTTTGAAAAAAAAATAACATGAAGGTATTTCTGTTCCTTGATTTACATACATTTTCGTCATGATTCTATGATTAATAAGAGAGAGGGATCATCCTGTTGAGAAGAGAAAGAACACAACCCTGACAGCACAGAGCATCCAGGTGATTGGAAGCTTCAGAAATGCCATCAGTGAGCTCTTGCCAGTGTCACGAAGCCTGAAGCAAGGCTATGCAGTCTGTTTCATCAGTGTTGAAGTGAAAATATGCACTTTCTAGGCTGTGCAACCTGTGAACAGGATTTCTTGAATTTACATTTGGTTTTAGTTCTCCAGAATATTTTCAGAAAACTTGGCATATGCCTTCATGACCTGAAGGACTGGGCTTATAATGAAGTAATGAAACTTTTTCCAGCTAGAAAGCAATATGGAGAATGACCAGAAAAATAATCCAGATTTCTGCCCCCGAAGCTGCTTCTTACTTCCCCCATCAGAAAGGAAAATTATCCCTTTTCAAAGTTCTTACGGAGAGCTGTTGCCTTGCCTTGCCTTGATAAGGTAAGATGGAGAGACTGATTCATTACATAGCGGTTTTGTCACGTACAGTCTAGTTTAAATCACACCATGTCCTAAGACTAGATTTTAAAACATCATGAAACTCCACCCTTGTCCTCTTGTACCAAAGGTAGTCTAGATACAAACCACAGCAAGGACTCAACGTCTTGAACAATGAGAGACAGTTGCTGGCACTGCTGAATGCACAACTTTCACTAGCAAGGTCACGGCCATGCTGGCAAATTTTGCTGCTATAAATTTTATTGACTTTCAGTTTCTGATAACACTAAGTGAAAGCACACTGAACTCTGGCACTGTGCCACGAGAGACTATTATTTGACAGCCAAACTCCTCAGTTCGCTGAGTCACCAAAAACTTGCAGCAGTAAGTCTGTGTAAATGAAAGGCACCTTTTGTCAATGACAAGTTTGTAATGTAACTTTGACCAGACTTCAGTTACTTTTCTGCCCCTCCTACAGAGGGATATAACCAGAATATAACTCAGAGACAAAAATACTGATTCTGCATGTGCAGGTGTTAGAAAACCTTCTAGTTCACCCAGCCTGTAACCATTCCTCGATTTCCCTAGTGAGTGAGTATACTGAGAGGAATAAAACAGCTCCAGGAGCAGTATAATTTAATTTCACTCATTCTTGTTGCACGATCACGGATCAAGCTACTTCTCTGTCAGTATGCTTTAGTGACATGAAGAAAATGTAGAACATAGCTCTTTTATAAATACAGTTTCCTTTTTGCTTGCACAACTTTGATTTCCTTTGACAGACGGTGACCCATATTACGTTCTTCAGTAGGAATAGGTAAGTATTTGCTTGTGGTTTTTAGTATTCCTGTCATGAACAATTTTTCTTTCACAAGGAGCAAGGTATTTTCATCTGCCCCAGTTAAAATATGCAAATAGTAAAACATATTGAAAGAGTCCTTTGCTTTAAATATGTTTTGGCAGTTAGAGACCACCAAGCTGTCATTTGGTCAAATCAGAGCCCACAAGACCCACTTACACTATCGCAATAGTGAAATGTATGCAATTGTATATATGCAAATTCAAGGAGCTGCTTAAACTCACTGGTGCTTGTGTTTGGAAAGTAAAACTGCTGCATGGACCTGTGCAGAGCAAAGTAGATGGTGGGTGTTGATCTTCTCAGGCTGCCTTGACAGTTCTGCTGGTTAACAAAATACTCACCTTGAGAGCTTCCTATACTCCAGCAATGCACTTGACAATGGAGGGTCAGCAACATGCACTGTAAGGTCAGCTACATGCACCAGCCCCTTCCCCAAAGATCCATCCCAGCAAAGGAAATTGACAAGC